GGCTCCCTGAACTCTGCCTGGGGTTGGGGTTTTTACTGACAACTGACCGCTTGTATGCATAGCATGTATTGGGGTGGGAAAGCCATTATGTGCAGACCTGTCATTGCCCTGATGTGTTAGTCAGGCCTGGCTGTGTCTACGCCCTTCCCACCCACTGCTGGGGCCTCCCCTCCTCTGGCCTTCCTTCTGGGGCTGCCTGCAATGGGCTGGTGCACCTCTGCCTGTCACCTGCTGTGGCCTTTCTGCCATAAACCAGAGGTGTGCGAGGGAATGGAGAGTAGGAGGGGTCTCACTTCTGAACCACCAAGGCTGTCTCCAGACTGGGGTCTACCCTCTCACTTGCACGTGGCTGATAGCCCAATTTCCTCCTGTGTAGGGAGGGCTGGGACTGCAGCATTGCTCCGTGTGTCTTGGGCTTGCTTCTCCAGGAGCAGCTACTGAATGCCTTCTAGCCATAAAGGCATGGAGAGATGCTGACACACACTTCTCCTTGAACAAAATAGTGTATGGCAAAATATACACTTCCCCAGAATCAGTTCTCCTGGTCCTTGAATGAATGCAAGCTATGGCAAGCAACTTATGAGCTCTAGGAACTCTTCCCCACCAGGGTCTTGCCTGTGCAGCCTCTTCTCTGGTTCATCTAAAGGGGCTGCTACTCTCTTTTCCTCCTGCTGCCTGCACAGCAAAACATGCTCCTTTGGTGGGCAAGTCTCTCTGCACGCGGGAGGCTCTTCTGCTCTCATCTCTTGATTGAGAATGTAATTTCCAAGATGATGGCAAAGATGCCTCCTGTGCTGCTATGTGCAGCTGGCTGAGGATTGCTTTTTCCTCTGAGGAAAACTTTTTGTTACGTTGAGGGTGACAGTACTGGAATGGGCTGCCCAGAGAGGTGCCTGACATCTTTCTCTGGAGATATTCAAGACCTGCCTGGATGCCTACCTGTATGACCTGTAGGGGAGTTGAACTCAGTGATTCCTGAGAAGCCCTTTCCAGCTCCTACAGTACTGAGATTCTGTGACAGCATGCTCAGGAAATCTCCACAGGATTCTGGAGGTCATTCAGACTGGGTTTGTGCAACTGGAGGCTTCCTGGTCATGGCTGCAAGCTCTGCTTTCTTCACCCCGTCCCAACCAGAACACGCACAGGATGTACCTCATCTCAGCAGTGCGTATTGCACTGCCTGGGGCTTGCTCAACACCACCCGCACTGTGCAAAGGCAAGCATCACTTGTGCTGCTTCCGTCTTTCAACACACGGCTGGAGGCAGCACTGACAACTGACAAGGAATGACCCTGGTTGCCACTGAGATGCCACCTGCTCAGCACTTTTGCAGCATCGCTCTAATTCACAAGGGCAATACCCAGGTGCAGCAAACACACAGTGGCACTGACCCTAGAAGTCATGTAGGTGTAGCTACAAGAGACAAGTGACTTGGTGAAGTCAGAAAATCTGTAACCACAACATGTCTGCTGCTGAAAAGACTCTCAGGCTCCTAGCTGGAGAATTCAGCAAGCTGCATGTTCAACAGAGGAAAAAGAAGCAGTCTCAAAGTACCAAGCAATACCTTGGAGGCATGTGAGGTGATCCTGGCCTCACCGCCTTTCCCCATTACTCGGCAGGGTAAAGCAGAACCTTGGGCTGAATTCTGATCCACGGTCCTCCTGCAGCCTCTCTGAGGTTTGCTCCTTCCAGCAGCGGTGACAGTGACCACCATGTGCCAGTGTCAGAATCTGCATCACACGAGATCCACTCCTTTAATCCCAGGCTCTTGCCCAGTTCTTTGCCTTATCATAGTCACAGAAAGGCTTGGGTTGGAAGGGACCTTAAAGCCCACCCAGTCCCAGCCTCTGCCACATGCAGGGCTGCCCCTCACCAGCTCAGGCTGCCCAGGGCCCCATCCAGCCTGGCCTTCAATGCCTCCAGGGATGGGGCACCACAGCTTTTGGGCAGCCTGCATCACAGCCTCACCACTCTCTCAGTGTAAAATTTCCCCAACATTTAAATCTCTCATTTATTTTAAAACCATCCCATCTAATACTATCTGCCTGTGTAAAAAGTGTCTCTCTTCCATTTTTAAGCTCTCTTTAAGTACTGGAAGGCCACAATGTGGTCTTCCTGGAGCTTTCTATTGTTCAGGCTGAACAAGCCCATCTCCCTCAGCCTGTCTTCATACGACAGGTGCTCCTGCTGTCTGAGCATTTTTGTGCCTTTCTCTGCACCCAGCAGCTCTGCACCCTTCCTGTCCTGGGGGCCCCAGGCTTGGACGCAATACTCCAGATGGGGCCTTACAGGGGCAGAGCAGAGGGGGACGATGACTCGCCTTGCCCTGCTGCCACCCCTTTTTGATGCAGCCCAGGGGCAGTGCAGAAGTCAGGCTGTGCTGGGTACCACGTACGGCTCGTCACTAGGCTGATGTACTCACTTCCCAGTATTTGAGGACTGCGGAGCAAAACCTCACTTGAATTGGCACGGATCTTGCCACTGACTTCAGCAGAGCCGTGAGAGGGAGCCGTGCAGCAGCCTCCGCTCGGGATAGATTAAATGCGAATGCACGTGCCTCAATTACGGGCTGTATCTGATGGATCACACAGATACCGGCACACAGCTTGGGGAAACAAAACAACGGGCACGGTGTTAACACAAGCGAGCGACACTCGCATTACTTCTGACTCCTGCCGTGCTCCTAATCCCACTGAGAGCAGCAGCGTAATTTGCTCTTAGAAACGAAGCTGCAACGCAAGGAAAAAGTAGAACCGCAGTTACGCACGGCAAGAGGCAGCGCCGTACCACAGCACGAGCGGCCCGCAACGCCTCTACAGGGGAACGCGGCACAGGCGTGCGGCGGTGACCCGGGCAGGGGAGGGCGGGGATCCCCGCAGCTCCGCCGCGCCACCCCCCGCGCGAGGTCGGGCCCGGCACCCACCCGGCAGCGCCGCGAGGTCGCCGGCCGCAGCCCGTCCCGGAGTCACGGCCGACGGGAGCCGCGGGCCGCTCGCCCCGGACGCGGCGCAGCGCCCCATCCCAGCCCGACGCAGCGCGCCGCGGGGAGCGCCGCCGCCCGAGCCCGGAACCGCCCCGCGCCTGCGCGGAGCCGCCGTGTTTACTGTTTAGTTGCCAGGGCGCCGCGCGGCGGGCGCGTCAGGGACGTGACGTCCCGCTCCCCGCGGAGACGCTACGAGCCAGCGCCGTGACGCAAGTGCTTCCGGCCGTGCCCATATATGGCAAAGCGGCGGCCCCCTTTTCCCCTCGCGGGCGCTGGACGTTGCGCTGCGCGTGCGGCTCTGCAGCGGGAAGGTTCCAGAAGGGCGCGAGCCGGAGCCTTGGCACGGCGATCTGCCGCTGCCCATGAGCCCTTAGGGCTGTAACGGGCTTCGGTACAGGCGGGGAGCGGGCCTTAGGTGTGCGTTCTGCAGGTTCTGTCACATGTTTCGCTGTTGTTTTGTCAGTAAACCTGTCAGTCGCGCTAGGAAGCCTGCCAGAAAGTCATCGGTGCTGACGGATGGTCGATAGGCGCGTTGTTCTCGTGAGGAGATGCGGGTTTGGAAAAGCAGTAGCGCTGTATTGGCTGCAGAAGTGGGTGTGTGCGCCTCAAGTGGCGGTGCCTGCACGAGGGCTGCTGGAACAGGCAGCGCAAGTGACCCTGCCCGCGGCTGGGCGGCCTTCAGGGTCCCGTCCAACTCCGATATTGCTGTGAAGAATCAGCCTATAAGCTGATTTACCGCTCGGGCACGAGATCTTGAGATTATAATGGTTCTGTGTGAATCTCGGCTCAAGGCTTGGTAAATAAGCTAATCAAATGTTAACAGTGGGCTAGAGAACAAAGCCGAGCGCAGCATTCACAATGCAGCACGGTCCTGTGGTGTGCCTGAGCTTTGGGTGCTCTGTGCAGTGCTCATCTTCCCTTCCAAAGGCTGTGGAGCTCTGAGAGGTGCAGGTAAATAATGACGTTCTGGGGCTGTGGAGCAGCTCCTGTGTGAGGAACAGCTAAATTAATGAGGGCTCTTCAGCCTTAAAGAGGCACCAGTGAGGGAGGTATCTGGCAAGAATTATGGGCATCAAATGAAACGTGGGAAAAATGAGGGTTAAACATACAGGGGTTGTTCATTCTGTGTTGTGTGTTGGCATGGTAGATGTTGTAGATAGCACTTTTCTTACACTTGAGTCTAGAAAACGAACAGAAGAAAAAGCCAATGAGTGCTGTTAAATAACAATGTGCCCTCTTTGGGTGATGAAGTTCTACTTTTTGTAAATTTCTGGGGCTTTGGGGGAATATTCTGGGGATGCAGCATCACGCTTTTACCTTGTCCTTACAGCCTTCTTTGGGTGCCTGCTGCCAGCCAGTGGCAGAAGTCTGTGGGTGATGGCAGAGGAGGAGAACCAGAGAAAGGGAAACTTGGTCTGTGTGACCCTGACTGATCTCTATTGTTTGGTAAGCAGTTAGCTAAACTTTCGCTCTGACTCTGTGCTTCCTTACTGAGGTGTATTTGAAATTTGTGTAAGTAATTACCAGATGTGATCTCATACGTCCACAATTTTCATCCGTTCAGATCTTTTGCTGATAAAGTTGTTCTTATGGCTTCTGGTGAGCTTTCCAGCCATAGCGGGTAAGCTGGTGACCCGGCGAGATGCTGAAGTGAAACCGACAAACGCGTATTATTCTTCTTCTGATATGGAAACAGCGGATATCCACAAGGGACCTCGGTGTTATATCAACAGGATACCACAGGGAAACAAAAGACGGTCATAACTAACATGTGGGCAATACAGCACCTTTATTACTTCCAATTATGGAGCTCTTGTTCCTTTTTTTCCCTGGCATCTTTGGATTGCAGAACAGATTTTTCAGTTCCTGTTCACTGCTTGGGTTTTGTTTTTATACAAATATTTTGTAACTTGTGCCTGGTTGTTTTTTGCCGACAGGAAAAACTTTAAAGCAGTCTGAATTCTGACTGCATCACAGCTTCTGTTTAGTGAGAATATAGCTCCCTTTAAATAGCCCAGCTTGAATTTTCTCATGCTAAGGGATAAGGGGCAACCTCATAATGCAGTATTTATCTGTTTTGGTTTGCAAAACTAAGTATTTGTTTTCAATGAGCAGCGGCATTGCAAGGGCCACAGAGTAGCAATGTCAAACCTGAGGCATATCCTCTAAGTTCTACAGGATTCAGATATTTCCAGGTTGCTAGGGTTTTGAGTAGCACATCACTTTGGCACTGCTCTGAAGCGTAGTGGGCGTTTCTGTGTAAGAATGATGTTGATTCTGCTGTGGAGCATTTGAACTCCTAATTGTAGGAGGAATGGCAGTTGCTGGTAACTCACAGCTGAGAGAAGGACAAGCTCTGTTACAACATGCAAGTGTGTGGTGTGGCGATTCAACTCAACAGTAACGTGACCTGATGGTGTTGCGTCACTAACCTTGAGGACACAAAGGAAGATAAACTAATTTGCTGCCATTACATAAGAGTTGAGTACAAAGCCAAGTGATGTTTCAGCACAGGTAAGGATTTCATTCTGAAACTTTCAAAGAATTCAGGCCCTCATAGCTTTATTCATAGGAATTGCAGGTCCTCCCTGCTGCAGTTTGCCAAGTTCCCTGTAATGAGGTGCTATGAGCCTGGGTTCCTTAGCTGTGCCTGGGGGTAAGCAGAAAGCATGAGCATGGGATTGCTTGCTGACTGTTACGCAGTAATAATCCTGGTACCTGAAATGGTTTTGGCCTGTGTCAACTAGCAATCTCCAAGGTGGTGTGTGGGCATGGTTCAGGGCATAGTATGCCTTCAAAGAGGATTGTGTGTGAAGCTGGGCTACCCCCATGCTCCATGGTTGTACTGCAACATCTGAGCCAGTTTCATACTGCATTTCCTACTTGGTGACAAGTCCTTTACTTATTGCAATGGCTGTGTAAAACGTTCAGTGCTCCAAGCTTACTGAAATACCTGGGGAGAATTTAAGGGAAACACAAAGTGATTTATTTTGCCAAAAGGTAGGTAGGTAGCTGTGTTTGAAGACAAATACGGTGAACTAACCAAACAAGAAGACATGCTACTCTACCTGATTGTCTTCAAGATCTTTGCTTCAGCCTGAAGGCTGAGCTGAGGGGCATGGCAAGCTGCTGGGGTGGGTTGTACAGCTATTAGAACTGCACAGTGGCACTCAAACAAGCTCCCTTCCCCAGAAGGCACGTTCCTGGTTAGGAACACTTATTTGAAAGAAGTTTTGTGTATATTTTATACATCTTTAAATGCTTAGGGTGATTCTGAGGGCAGATGCCTCACGGTGTGTCAGTTCTGGCTCCTAATACCAGTGCATTTTGTCAAGGCCTGATTTGTAGCAGCCTTGCTAATGGAACACCATTTGTTGTAGCTCTGCTCTTTGTGCAAAGGCATGACAGGAGTGCAGTGTTCTTGCTCCTGATACCTGGACAGGATTAATGTGGCTTCTTGATAAGCCTGTCCCTGTAATGTATAAATAAATAGCCTTTGCCAAGAGGGCTTTAGCACTTCAGGGTAGAAATATTTTATTTTTCCTCTTAATTTTTATTACCTCTAATATGAGAACACTTACAAATGCTTTTGTGGCAAAAGTAAATACAGCTTGTTTGCTGATTAGATCTAGAGAACAGCTATGAATAAAACAGTTCTGGAACTGTCAGTGTCCCTGTGTTTGTGATCAAAGTGCAAACCAATTCCATTTGTTAGATACGTGGAATTGAGTATAAGGCCATGTGATCAATACCCAACAGAATCTTCTACCAAACCACTTTAACCTTAGAACCAAAACCTGCATTATCTTTCCTCTATATGCCATATTTTTACTTGCTGTTGTATCAGACACAGCTAAGGGGCTGAACTGTTGCACGTGTGTGAGATTGATGACCATAGCTAATTTAAGGCACGTGTAGTTGCATGAGGTAATGACCTCACAGCCTCAGTCTTGTCATATGAACAGCTTAATTATTGGATATGGAATGACAGGTTGTGTCCTGCAAATGATCAGACACAGAATGTGCTGAAGACCAGTCTGACTCTTAACCAGAGGTTTGTATTTCCTTTTAAGATACATCATGCACTAAAATAATCATCTGTATTTATGAGGGCAAAGTATCATAGAACAATTTCCACCTGGGGATCTCGTAGCCTCCTTATGGGCCCTAATGATAGAAGTGTTCTGTTCTGTCTCACCGTGAGATTTTCAGTGTAGCATTCGAGTACTTTCCCATTCACCTCAAATGAGACTAATATGTAAATGTGTGGTTTGTTCCTGTCTCTCCACATTGGGTTACAGTGTGCCAGTAGTACAGGTGGGAAGAATTGTGCCTTGCAGTCTGGGGAAGCATGTACTGAAGGGTCTTCTTGTCGCTAGGGAGTTCATTCTCCAAATTTGGACAGGTCCTTAGAAAGTGGGGTCTCTCGCACAGATCAGCACTGCCTTTTTGCCAAGTCCATTTGTGCCACATTAGCTGAGTACAGTCTATCTTGGTGTTTCAGATGGCTTCCTTCTCTTTGATATGCTGGTGCCAGGCCTTAAGATGAGAACCAAATTCTGCTGTTCTCAGAATTGTATGAAGAGGATGAAGAGTGTGATCCCACGTTAACATCCAGGTAAGTTGAAGCACTAAACAGCAGTTTTGGGAAAGTTAAAATCAGCCTACATGGATGTTCCTGCTGTCACCTCTGCTCTGTGCGATTCTCTTTCCTTCCTGGTTTCTTCATAGTTACTTGCTTGATCCTCAGTGAAGTAGTTCAGGAATTTACACTGGCACAAGAAATGTTTTCATATGTGGGAGTTAAATTCCAGCTGAATTTGGTCCCTAACCAAAGTTACTGCAGAATCAGTCAAATGCTAATACCGAAGCAATGCAGGAGGCAAATCCTGCAGCTTTTAGCTGGACTGGGCTACACAGCCTCCAGAAACCCCAACCAACTGATGTGATGCACTGTGTCTGTGATCAGTAGGATCAGCTGGGTCAGGAGGAGCACAGGAATAATGTGGTGGTGGTGGTATGAAAACAATCCAGTGGTAACAAGGAACTAATCCAGAGATGTTAAACTTACCTCTGTGTGAGTACCTCTAAAATCAGGATTATGTACTAATCTTTGCTCTCTGAAGTGAGTTGATAACTTTCTTAGGTGACAGGACTCTGTGCTGTGCCATCCACAATCCTGTTGGCTGATAAGTAATTATGGGGAGGGGCACAGTTCCCAAATGCCAAGTGACAGAGGCTGAGGTTCCTGTTCCCTTTTACCACCCCCAGGAACATGTGTTAGCCCCAGCTGGGAGAACATGCTGGAGAGACTGGCATGGGAATGCCTGGAACCCAGCCCATCAGCACACAAGTCAGACACCCGTAACAGTGCTTTTAGGCTCTGCTGCCTCTAAATCTGGGTCTTTGGGGTCCTGACAAACATCACCCATTCATCAGAGCTTCTTAGTCCCAAATCTGAATTTCCACACTTGTCTGCACGTAAAGAGCCATATCTTAAACAAACATGCTGTTTTTACTGGAGCGGACTGACGAGTGAAAATGTCTTTGTAGCCTTAGTGTTCTGTCTCACGGTGGATGTGCATCATGATCCTAAACTATGGCAAAGCCTTCCAGTGAAACACCAGAAGGCTGTTTATGTCTCCTGGGTTTCGTCAGCCCCTTCCAGGTCCTGTATCTGCAGAGTTCTTGGAGGCACTTGGGATTTCATCATCAGACCTGTAATGCTTCGTGCATTTCTTAGAGCCGGAGCGCTTGGGGTCATGTGGTTATGTAAGAATTTAAACGTAATTTTTTGTTAGGCATACGATTAGATCTTGAGATTGAGGAGGAGAATTGAGCAATATGAACCCAGCAGCCACAGGCGTTGGAAGTAAGGAGCAGCGTTCCGCGTTAACAGCAGCGAGGCGGTCTCTCTGTCCCCGCGGCTCCGGCCGTGAGCGCGCGAGCGGGCGCCAGCGCTGACAGCTGTGGCTGCAGCCGGCCCTTTCTCCCCGTGCCGCAGCCCCGCCGTGAGCCGCGCTCTGCCCGCCGGCGGCATCGCGCAGTGCCCTCTGTTGGCTGCCCGGCTCCCGGCCGCTGCTCGGGGCTGGGCGCCCGGCCTTACGACCGCCGCGCGTCCCTGCGGCCCCGCGGGAATGCTGCCTGCCCGGTGCGTGACTTCGTTGCTCGCCTTTCGCTGCTCCCTGCTGCTGCCGAGGAAGCTGAGCGCTGACGGAGGAAGGCGGAGGTAACTCGCCGTGCGTGAGTGCTATTGAATGGCGGCGCTGTGAGCCCGGGCGCCCATCTCCAGCCCCTGCTCGGAGCGGGAGCGGGTTGCGCAGGATGCTGGGCTGGATTTTGAACATCTCTAGCAATGGAGTTTCCGCGGCCTGGCTGGGCAACTTAGTCCAGTGTCCAACCGTCCTTATGGTGCTTATGATAAAAACTAGAATAAAATAGGATGCTGGGGACATGCTTTGAAGAGCCTATATTTCTCCACTGTGTTCCCAAACTTTTTCAAATTCCCATAGGTGCTTTGTTGGGGTAGGACCAGGTAGAGACAGGTAGACTTTTTGTAGAAAGGACAGGTTGTTGATACGTGGCTGGACTTGCCCTTGGAGTTCTTTGTGTGGCTGTGTATCAGCTGTGCAGTCTGAAAACTGACATAATTTCTGATGGGGTCTCTTGTGTTTAATCCTCTTGAATATGTGTGTGTGCTGATCTTGGGTGCAGTTTATCTTACGAAACTTTGGACAAGATGATCCCATAAGCATCATGCAGATTTGGGGGCCCAGCAGCCTCCCATCAGATTTTGCCCTAGGAAATGGTAGAAAGTCTGTGAGAAAGATCATGGGGCTGGGATCTGGCACCTGGGAGAGGTGCTGAGGGTTCCCACCGGCTGTGCTGCTAAGCAGGGGAAGGTATTTGCTTTTGCCTGTTTTGCAAGTCTGTTTTTTGATTCTCTGAACCATACCCACAGGAAAGATTTAAAGAGATGTTGGGCCAGTGACAGAGCCCATGGCTGAATGGCTGGAAGCATTAGTATGCTGCCGAGGAGATGTTCAGGTGGCACTCAGGTTGAAGGGCTGTTTGATATGGAGGAGGCAGTTGTGCTCTGCGTATAAGCTAGGGCTGACTTCTAAAATGAAAACAAAAAAGCAGGAAAACATAGCCCTGCAGGAAGGAATATCAACACTTTCTGCACTGTCGTAAGTTATTTGTGTCATTTCTGCAAAATGAATAGCGAGAGAAAATGTATGTCCACTTATGGCTCATGATACTGATATCTAATCTTTTGAATTTGGAATGAAAGTCCTCGTGTGGCGAGAGGGGAGGTAGGGGTAAGACATAGGTAAGAGTTTGGGTCAGTGTACAGTAGAGCCTCCTGCTCTGTGAGCAGCAGCACTGCAGCCAGTTCAGAAAAAGTAACTTGCTTTTACTTCTTTCACACAAGAGGGAAGGTGCACTGCAGTACTTCCAAGCCCAGCACTGGCCTGCTGCTGCTGCCACTGATGGCTAGGACTTTTATGTGGTTGAAAAGCAGGCAGGGGACAGACACTGAGAGCAACTTGGGAATAGTTTTGGAGAGTGGAGGAGAGTGAGACACCCAGAAGCAGAGCTGTGCCAAGCTTTGAATGATAACCTCCTGAAAATGCAAAGGTCCATCCAATGCCTACTGACTGCAGTGTGATATGCCTTGCTTTGTCAGGTCTGTAATTGCTACAATGTGCTCTAGTTATTTTGTTATTCTAGTTATACTCTTTGCTCTCACCAAAGACAGATCTACAGGTGTTGATCTGGTCTCCTGGCTTCCTTTGTACCAGTCTCTTACATCCACTTTCTCACTATGCAGGTCAGAGGACCAAGACGGTATAGATTGAGATGCGTTCACTTTGTTGTGCTTCTTGGGTGAATGGATCATTGGTGTTCTGAGTGGCCCATGGAGATCTCCCTTCAGAAACAGTGTAATTCATGTCACGGTTCTCTTTTCTCAAAGGGGAGAATGCTAAAATTCAGCATGTGGAAAGCAGAGCATTGGGAGACCTGGTGCTTGCTGTCAGCTGTGCAATGGGGATGGCCACTGTTGAGCTTGTGGTGGTGGTTAATGTCCTGGGTTCCAAAGGAAAAAGAGCTTAGCAACTGTACAATCCTGCCTTGTCCTACATGCCTTGCTCTGTCTGATCTGAAGACCTTCAGAACGGTACTGCAGACATAATGAAATGTACAGGCAATCTCCATCTCTTGTTTGTTCATCCTGGCAACAGTGGCCTTTCGCTGTGTTGAGTTTCTTGTGAGTGAAGAGTGTTAGCCCTGGGGAAGCTGTCCTTGTCCGAGGACTGTCAAACACTGCCCTTGCATTTGGTGGGAGCCCTGACCTTGGAGCTGCAGAGCTGTAGATGCTTTCTGCAGAGTGATCTTAATAATTTACCTTTTTTAGAAGGTCTAACAGCTGAAAGACTTGAGAAGTCTCTCCTTTTGCTCAGCTTTCCCTATAAGATCCCTCTGCTAATGCCTCTGCCTGAATTCCCTGGTATCCCAGCTAGCTTCTGTCAGAGACTGAGAAGCTGGACCCAGGTGTTTGGCTGAGCACAGGGAACAAGTTTATCGTTTACTTTCCTCTGCATGGCAGTCTTTCTGCTGGCAGGCAAGATGTTCAAGTAAAAGCTTCATAGCCATCACTGATTCTACCTAGCACTTTTTTCTTTGGAAGCCTTACATGCAAAGTCTTGCACTGCGCCTTTCAACTCCGGCTCTGGATCAAGTCTTGCAAAGATTGGGTGCAACTGCAAGACTCCTGGAGGGATTTTTATTCTCACATCAGATGAAGTTGGGGTTAAAAAAAAAAAAAAAAAAAAAAAGGGGGGGAGGTAAATCACAGAGCCAGCAACTTTTTTGGTGTCTCTGGGATTGTGGCTCCTCCTGCCCCTGTGGCCTTCAGAAACACATTCGGCAGAGCTGCCCGCATAGCAAAACAAACGCATCCCAAACCAAAACAAACAGAGTTGGGTGTTGGTAGTGAATGGGCCAACATCGTGTGCTGGCGTCATCTCTGCCCACTGCCAGCATGTTGTCATAGGAACAGCTGGATTATTTTACAATCCAGCTGTGGAGCCAATTCTCTAAAGGAATAGCCTGGAGGGAGGAGAGGGGCGGGCAAAAGGGAGCAGTGCTGCATTTTCTGGTAAGCGAAGGGAGGAGGAGTATTAATGGAGAGAGGAAGGGAGGGATTATAAGTGAGTGCCATCTATCATAGCCTGAAACCACAACCAGTCATTTCCAGATAACTGACTCTGTATTGCTAGCTGGATCTGGGAAGTAAGAGCTGCTCTGTGGGAGAAAGGGTGAGGATAAAAGGAAATCTTGTCCTGCGGTGGCCATGGCTTGCAGCTGTGCAGTGGGCTGCACCTACTGTGCCCCACCACCCCAGGAGGTTGAAGCTGATTAAGTAATGGCTTCTCACTCACCCAGAAAAAGATTCACGGCCATTTCTCTTGCACACTCGGAACATTTGGTGCCGTGTTTTTTCCCTGTGAGCTCCTTGGGCTGTGTTTGGAGCCTGCAGAGCACCGAGGGCGTTGTAGGTACCTGAGCAAAGGTTTAGTCTTGGTGCTCGTGAGGGCTGTTGTAGCAAAGGGA